TTTTGTTCAAATCATGACCCCCGGGGGTAGGGTGGGGCCACAATGGAGGATCAAAGTCTTAAATAGAAATATATAGGATAATATCTTGGAAGCATCCTCAGGTAGTGTAGATTCAAATTTGTTCAAATGATGACCCCTGGGATAGGGAGGAGCCACAATGGGGGATAAAATTTTTACAAAGGAATATATGGGAAATTTTTTTTGAACATCTCAAGTACAAGAAAGCCATTTGTTATATTGACATGGAAGCATCATCAGGTAGTTTAAAATTCAAGCCCCCCCCCCCCCCCCCCCGCGGTGGTAATCTTTTCAATACTGAACTCGTGCTTTTGCCTAGCCAATGTGCTCAGGTGAGCGATGTGGCCCATGGGCCTCTTGTTTTATCTTTTGATCTTGACCATGGAGTTTGACTTGCATTTGAGAAACTTTTAACTTTTGCCATAAGATGCCATATGGGGGCATCAGTGTTTCAAAAATCACATGTTGTTCAGTATCCAAATTGGGCATAAAACATTTACAATGATCCTTTAAAGCAGTGAGTTGAACCTAATAAATTACGACTATAGAAATTATGATAATTTATTTCGATGTATGGTCTAAAAAAACGTTTATTATACCTCTGTGAAAACTAGCTTACAAGTGAAAAATCATTAGTAAAATAGAATTTGATTGGCCGAGAAAGTCACGTGTCCATCATGTTTGCCCTGCAACAAAACGTCGTGTTTCACGATTGTGACGTCACAATTAAACGAGTGAGGAGTTAGATTGTTTATAGCGACGCTGCTAACTTCGTTCGCGCGGTAACAACAACTAAAAATTCACCCCAAAAAATCACCTTAATTAATGGAATTGCATACAGATATTAGATTAAACGTTCTTTATTAAAATGTTTGCACTTTTCAAAATTCGTTTATGGAAATACAGCTAACATACGTCATGAGACGTCACAGTCTAGACGTTCCAAATGTCTCGTGCTGTTTGAAGAGGCGGATCTTAAAATTAAGTGAACAATGCACTCGCCCAACGGTCGCACCGTCAGCATATTATCGTTGATTGATTGTGTCGATTTAAATGTGTAAAAATGTAATGGTGTTTGAATGTTACTGGTGTGATCACACAAACTTGTCACGTAGGATTTTTTTTTAATGAAACGAGGCTATTGGTGTACCTGTAACTTACATCTCTTTCATATCGTTCTCATCAAATGCATGTTTGCTTTATTCATTGGATCTCCTTTGTAATTCCTGCATTTTGGTTAATTCGGTATTATAAACAATTTATTGCATAATAGTGAGGGAGACATAAAGATTTCTTCGCAAATGAAAAATCATATTTCTCTCGGGCGTTGCCTTCGGGGAGTATGATTTTTCATGGGCGAAGAAATCTTCAAGTTGCCCTCGGGGAATATGATTTTTTATAGGCGAAGAAATCTTCATGTCTCCCTCACTATCATGCAATAAATGCAAACTGTGAACTTGTCAACTGCGAAACACACAAAAGGGTATCGCTGATATCATACAGAGTGTATCATTGCCTTGATCAGGCCCATAGGAAGCAAATTCAGGGGGTTTTTTTTTGGGGGGGGGGGCACAGCCATACATTTTCAGTTGACAGTTGAGGGGGCACTACTACCATAAATTTCCTGACAAGCAAAAAAAAGGTCACCAACTACCAAAAATTCCTTGACAAGCAAAAAAAAAAAAGAAGGTTATCAGACGTTTCTATTGAGGTGGCACAAGCTATAGTATCTATGTCTACTATAGTAATCTATATATCGGCAAAATTATTGGGGGGCACGCCCCCCCCCCCCTCCCTCGTTTCCTACGGCCATGTTGATTAAATTTAGGGTCACTAAGGAAAGAATGTTTTGACTGGATGAATGGTCTGAAAGAATATGTGTGAACTTGTCGAGTCGGTAACACATAGATGGGGTTTGCTTATAACCAGAGTGTGTCATGGTTTGATGCAAGGTCATTTGAACGAGTTCAAGGTCATCAACGGAGAAACAACATTCCTTAACTGTCTTTCTACTGGTGAGACATTGCAAGTTGATACCCCTTACAAGATTGCTTATAACCTTAGAATGTGGCATGACCTTGACTCAAGGTCACTTTTTCCTGTTCGCAGCTCCAACGGAAGACCTACTCGTTGCTTTGCAACGAGCTCTGCTCTAGTTCATTTACTCATTTGTCATATTGTTTAATTACTACTATCATTGGAAATGCTTCAGATTTTTACTTTCTTAAGTATTTTTTTTTTCTTTTCCCCCAAAACCGAAGGGTCCTAAATTCATAAAGTTATTTAGCCAACTTCAGGTACGTAGTATCAAGAGGGGGGGGGGCATAACTGTCCTCCTTTTTTTTCCAAACATAACTTTTTACTGTTCTAAATGTTACCCCTACCCTCCCAACCATCTATCCCTCACTTTTTGTTGCAGAATAGTTCAATCATGGTACATTGTAATGTATTATGAAAATTTGGTTGTGAAAAAAGTTGGAACCCTAATACCCACCCGTGACCCAACCCCCACACACAAAGGGATATCTATGTTTTTCTTTACACCCCCCTCCCCTTTCCCCATTCAGAAATGATACTACATGCCTGAACTCCAATAAGGCATAATTCAATCTTAATTTTTTTTATATATAATTTAAACACATGCACTTGATGCTATTTTTTTTTCTTCATCAAAACATAATTCTTTACTTATTAGGTCAGGTTATATTTTTATGTACAGTGTATTATTGTCAACAGTGTATATATATATATATATAGATATAGATATAGATATATATATATAGATATATAGATATATATCAGTCAACCATGTTAACATATTTCTACCAAAGGAACCTTTGTGAAAATAAGATAAACAGAATGTTCAATCATTAGGTGCAGCAGTCTACACGTTTCCCAGTCACAAAGATATAGCCACTCTTAAACACACTGGAAATTATGTAGTGAAAGGATTGGGTTGAAGAAAAAATAAGTTAACTGATCATTCGTCAAAAATGATATCTCATTAACATAAATACACAGGTAGTTGGACCTAGGATTATAAATATAGAAAGCTTACGTCTACATATATTGCCCTCCAGTGTCATTTACATGTATATCAGGAAATATTGGATTCTGTACATGTAGTAAATTGTCCCTGTTTACGGACTACATGAACCCGTTTTACCTACATGTACATGGGTTAGCGTGTGTGCAGCTAAAATTACGTGTTATCTTACTTTAAATTCCATGCCTTCTTTTATTTTCCTCAACCCTTTTAAATCTAAAAATAACTTCCTGTTTTTCCGGTGCACTATAAGTAACTTACGTAAAGTATTTAAACATTATAAATATGTTCTTAATACAATTATCTTAAATCCACGTGCTATCCATGCGTTGTTGTAATTTTAATGCAACAAATGATAAATTTGCAGATAGTTAAAAAAAAAAATAAATAAAAACACCTTCAAAACAAGACTATATGTTTAAGATTTAACCAAGACTCACTGGACATACTATAAATTATTATATTGGACGAGCATGTAACGATAACAAAGCTGAAATGAAATATACTGCACAGGTGTATTTTAATACACAACTAAGTCATTTGTCCCTATGCTGCTAAAAATAACATTTAAAAAAAACCCAACGATCTAAATATACACAGTTTTTCCAAACTTGTAAACAAACATTATAAAAGTTTATGACTTAAGTGTTTTTCCTGCGATTCAAGCTTTGCATGGCATGTCTAGCATAGAGGCTGATGTAGATTAAATTACTTGAATGTGTATAATTAGATATTCAATCTAAGATTGATTGTCTAAATGCACATATTCTATTTATAGGTAAATGGTCCATGTATGCAATTTCAAAATTGTGTCATCTGCTCCTTTTACGAACAACGGATTCCACTTGAAAAGCATGTCGTACAGAAACTGTTAATGCGCACAAGTGACAGAAAACAAATATGCAATAACAAATATATACATAATATAAAACGAAAGTCTTAATTAAAAAAATTGTTAACTTCTCTTTATTTGTACTTTATCTTCCCTTCAAACAATATAAATTCCAATACACGTGTTTAGTAAATAATCCAGGGTGTTTCCCATACTATTAAAAAAAAACAATCCCCCGAAAAAAAACCCACTGCAAATAATAGCAAATTTAGCAAATACCCACTGCCTTTTTTAGCACAATGATTCAATCTATATTTACATGCAATTATAAATGTTAACCTCAAAGTGTTCGCCACTTTTAATTGGAAGACATCAAAATGAATTTGTTAGATCTTTTGAGTGCCTTCTGTCTGCTGATTTGCATTCAACATTTTAACAATGGCTACGGTATGATAATCTTATTTGATATCTTCACCAATTCTCTCTCTCTCTATCCCTTTCTCTCTCTGTATGCCACATGCAGTTTGTTTGATTTGTTTTCTGGATGCAGTATATACTGCAACCAGAAAACACTGTCATTATTACTCCTATGGAAATTCTGTAAATGCTTCTTGTTAATGTAATTTTAACTTTTGAATCAAGTATATACATGTACATGTATATCAAATTAGAAAAAAAATCAAATATTTTTACACAGGTGGTCTATGTATATCTGTACAATGTACGTATATATGTGGTTCGTGTACATATCATACGCACCATTTTATAGATCGTGCGTGTAGGAACATAAATTGATCCGTGCATAGCTACATGTAATGAAAAAAAAAATACAAATATTGTGTGCACTACAAACAAACATTTTTAAAAAATGAAGAAATAATACAAAGAAGAAACAACAGAAAACAGAAGATAAAAAATAAATCTTATTCACTTTCAGTATCAAGCAAGGCGTGCTTTTGGTATAGAGATTCTGAAATATTCACAGAAATTTTCGACGAGAGATTTCAAATATGCTGCGAGTTATCGGGGATACACAACAAGAACAAACAGGACGGGTCCCCCGTAGGTTGTTGTGGAGGTTAGTATCTTAATTTCTATGGAAAAATGAATCAACTTACCGGATTTATTTCCAAGCTTAGACTTCAACGTAACTAGTCCTTTTGCCTGTCTTAGTCTGAAATCTAACTATAGCTTCTTCGGCTGGACATTAATATTTTAATCGTGAGTACACACATGAAGAAAGGCGAGCAGATGGAAATCTTTTCATGTGTACGGTTTGCACCGGATTTCTCAATTGATTTCTTGTCAGTGAAAAGGTGATGATTACGAAGTTGCAATGATTTTCAATAAAAATTCATAAACAAGTAAAAGTTTTCTAATTTTCAGACACATTTCGTTATTTAAGCAACTTAAGAATAGAAAAAAGCAAACATTCCCCTATATATTTGCACATATCCCCTTTTTGCACATGTATGAACTGTGTAAATACTGTGCATGAATGTATTACGGAGCAACACTGGTAATTAATGGAAAAAATAATAAAGTCCCATTTTCCGATTTAACACCCACCTCCCACTTCTAAGAGGTTTCTCCTTTTCATTTCGGTCAGATTTGGGGTGACCTAAGCTTTCTTTAAATATATGTAGCTCCTTTTCTTTTCTTTTTTTTTTCGAAATAACTATCCCACATTAACTTAACACAATAAAAAAAAAATAACATTACAGATAAAATATACAATAAAAGTTCTGAGATCTGCTGTGCCCAGAGGGTTAACCACAGTCATATACAAGCTGGACCTGATAGAGGAGAAAGAAGAATCTGCTGCGGAAAGAATCTATTGACTGCCAAGAAGTGTAAGTGGGAATTAAGGCAAACTGTCTTTGTTACATATCAACCCACACCTACATTGTCTTCTGTTCCTGCATTTTATAAATTAAATTCCTCTGTTTACTTAGCCCATTACTGCTGTGGAAGCGACTACGTTTCTTCGAACCTTAGTTGTTGTGGTCGGCAAACCCCTTACAATGCCTCCGAGTCCACATGTGACGATGATATGGTTGTTCCATTGCGACATGCTGTATGTGATGGAAAGCCCTATGATACACGTGACTATAAGTGTTGCCGCAATTCAATTCTCCACAATGTCTCCACCTTTGACAAGACGTTTCGTTGCTGTGGTGAGAAACTGATCAATACAAATAGTCAGCAATGCTGTCGATGGTCCAACTCGAAGATCGTACAACCACTGACTGGACAATGTTGCGGTAAAGGCAAGTGTATTGTTCTAAGCTTTCAGTAGCCAAATCTCAGTTATATTGAAAATTGCTAAAACTTTTACGAACCAACTTGAAATTCTACATGTACATGCACCTAATTGTAGAATATTGTGTTGGTAGGGCTCTATGATTCTAAAACAGAAATTTGCTGTCAAGGAAACAGAATTGTTTCTAATGGTGTACTTCAGTGCTGTGGTAACGGGTCAGTCAACAGCAGTGACCCAAACGAGGACTGCTGTATCGCTGGGAAATTTGGAAGGTCTTACAGAAAGAACACAGAGAAATGCTGCAATGGTACAAATGTCTCTCATATGCCTCAATTTATTTTGTTGCATTGATTTTTTTTTTTTTTTTTTTTTTTTGGTCTTCTCTTTAAACAAAGGAGTTTGCCTAACTTTATCATTATTAATTTTATTGACTATTTATAGTAAGTAATCCGATGTGTATTGCCTACAATAAATAGATTTATGCATTTTTCTTTATTGAAATGGTCAATAAAATTGATTGATAAGCTACGCAGACTGTTAGAGTTTAGAACAGGAATCTCCTTTGCTTCTACCTTTTCACTCATATACAATGTACGTTGTAATTTGAATTCAGCAGTGATATTAATCAAACACTTACAAAAATAACATTTAAAAATCTATTTATAGGGTCAGTTCAAGCCATTAAAAATACGAAAAATGCTACATGTTGTGGAAAGCAGCTATTCTCCTCATTGGAGCAAGTCTGCTGCAACAACAATACCATTATCAACAAGACTCTTTCACATCACAACTCCTGCTGTTCAAGACGACCAGGGCTGAACAGTTCCTGCAGTCGGCAAGTCCCCACAAAGAGGCCAAAGACGTGTGGAAAAATATCTTTCAATAAACAGAGGGATCTCTGTTGTAATAATAAGCTCCACAGAGATGCTCGTGTGAATGGAAAGAGATGCTGTCTCCCAGGGACTGAAACTTATCACCTTCACAATGAGACATGCTGCTATTCCATGGTCAAGGACAAAACTAAAGGGTAAGAATTAAAGGGGCATATTCTTTATGTTCGTACCCATGACCAAATGCAAATTTATGCTTTACATTGAAGAATCACAGGTAAAATTGATTTTGAATCAATATATGATAGATGCTTTGGAAGTAATGACAGAACCCCTCCAACAATGCCTGGTCAACCTGGCCCCATAAGACCCACACAATCAGAAGATAGGACCAAAGGAGTGTGTAGAGTTTGCTCTTCTCAGTGGAAACCAAATGCCATCATACTTTCTATATATTCCAAAGACACCAATATCTGTACTCAGAAAGGCAAGTACACTAATCACAGTAAGGTATCAGACTTTGGGCCCTATTCGTATGTATTTGTTCCTCAGTCAGTTTATCTGTCAACACTTACTTCAGCAATATGTCAGTTCGGATGACCTCATGAGTGCTGACACATACAAGCAGAGACTCAATTCGGTCTATAGATTTTTTGTACATTCAAAAAACTGGGTCATGACTGAAAGGAAAATTTTTGGAAAGTTTCTGTTAATACTCCTAGCTGACATTCCCAATGGTGAATGTGGATGGTATTTAGAAAAAAAACTTCAGACTTACATGTGCATTACTTGATCAAAGCTTAAGGCGTAAAGTTAAGAGTTCTATTGAATTGAGCGTATATAGTAGTCCTCTTGAGCCCTCTTTATCCCCCTTTTTTTTTTTACTTAATATACTTATTTTACTGTTTTACTTTTTGTAATGCATGTCGTACCTTCTATAATTTCAAGGTTCTGATCTACAAATATTTATATTTTCAGCAATGAAATTTGTTGTCAACAAAGTCCATCAACTCAATACAGTAGGACTTCCAATGGCATTTAAGTGGACTTGGCTGAGTGTCACCTCGAAACATAACATCTATGGAGAAAAGGGCACACCTGCCCTCAAGCAAAACTTCACCCTTGTTCTACCCTGTGCCTGCCCTAAACTCAAAACGATGGAGGGACAGAATATCCTGTTGATGACAAATGCAGAGTTTAATAAAGAGAAGATTTTTCTGGGGGACAGCGACCTCATTCTACCAGGGAGGAAAAAAGTGCTGCAACTTGTCAAAAAGCAGTCCAAGACATGCCCCAATTACGTTGTACAAAATATAGCTTTTCTCATACAAATGTCTTCTATAGGATGAAACTTTAGATACACTGGTAGTCTGAAAAGGTTCCAGGTTGGCCAAATTTTAATAGTTCTAAACTTCGCTAAATGAAGAAGTTTATCTAAAAATTTCATATTCAGATGCCAGTTTGTGAACTTGAGTTGCAAAAGCACTCAAAGCAACTGTTTGGTATATTATCTGAACAATTACTGAACATGAATAATTTTTAATGTACAAACACAGATTTTTGTACATATGCCCCATTGGCATGTTATTCCACACAACCCCAAGAAAGCTTTACTGCACATTCTTAAGCTAGTTTTTGGACTGCTCAATATTCATGATCATGATGGGCTAAACTTGTGCCATTATTATTCTAAAACACATTGAGTGGTATAAATTTTATATACTAGCTGTACAATGCATATTACTTTTTTGTTTTATATTTCACAGTTATATTTTTAACTTATAGCATTTTCTTTTAAGAATATCTGGGGAGTGTTCAATACTTCTTTATGCTTAGTTGGCATGACCGGACTTCATCTGTGAATTTCAACATAAAGATAGACCAGTATCTTTTTAGCTGGGAGGCAGAAGGATAATATAAGGTCCTAGGTAATCAGTGCATTTTCTTCCCATTTATGATTTTGACAATTGTAGGGTCTTTCTGAATCATGTATAAATGAACATGAAAGTAATCATTAATTCCTACACACTGTCCAAGACAGATTTACCCTTTTTTTAAGAGCATGCATGTATCATACAGTCATTAGCTATGCCATGTCTAGTGTTGTCTCTACCTCGGTTATGTGTTCACTTCTCATTTTTCGCATTTTCAAGCATTTTCTAAACTTTCTTTTATTGTTGGAGATTTAAGTATATGGGTTTTTTTTAAAGGTCTGTACATAGCCAATTATGATTTTATTTATATGATTGATTGACTGAATATTGCTCAATTGATGATGCAATTTTTCAAAGGATAGTTTTAGCAAACTTTTAGGTTCACTCTCAGCTAAACTGTCCTTTTTTCAAGAAAGTTATCCTGAAAATCAGATGAAGGCCTAGAAAAAAATAATGCATCTTTTAAAAATGGTTATCATTTAACATGTTATTTTTCTGAAATCACCCCTCCTTCCCCCACTTCAACAAGTGTGCTGCTGGCTCTTAATTCCAATTAAAAATTTCTTAATTTTGTATCTGAAGTACAGCTAAGGTGAATTCATGTATGAAATGGACTGGGTGAATCTAATCTAGGTGTTTATTAAGGCTAGCTATCAAATACATATATGTCTAATTTAATTCTGCTTAATACATTATGGTCCAAATTTTATGGTCATAATCTTAATCTTTGCAACTTTCATGTAAAATTGTAAAGTAACACTTATTTAACTGATACTGCATTTATGTGCCTTAATTAAAACTATTTGAAAATTTTAAATGTGAATTAATTATTTACTACCCATTTTTCTGTTCCCTTTTTCTTGCACATTAGTATTGATTATTTAAATTAAAAGATGCATTACTGGTTATATTTAATAGTTTGCTGATCTCATAAATTGCATCGTTCCAATACAATTTTTTTCACTTCTATATATAAACCAAAGTGATGCAAGTGTCTATTATAATGTTGATTAAACTGAAACTTTGAAATAATAAGTTTTTTTTATGAACTAATAAACTTGTATATATATCATATATTTGTAGTAATATTTTCAATCTTTTTTTTTCTTTTCATTTTCTTTAAATGAGCAAGAATTTTGGCCCAATTCTGTGATGTTTACATGTATAGATAGTACGAGACTTTGCAGTTCTTAGGGTAATTATTCAGATGTGTAAACTCTTCTAGAGATCATCATATGCATTACGCTGCACAATTACCAAGAAGACTAATATGCTTTCTTTAAATGTTAAATAATTATGTCATGATAAAATATGATATTTAGTGAACAGACACACATGTATATGCAGAACACTGATTATGTAAGGATCGAATCCTCATAACTAATGGATTTTCACAGACTTATGTACAAATATAAGCCTTATTCTGAACTTGACAAACCTTTAGCCTTTTCCTCAAGTTCTTTAGACCAGTCCAGGGACTCTAGCCCAGGGTGTAAAATTTCATCAGGGTCCGGTTCCATGCTGTTCTTGTTAAACTCTGAAAGAAAGGACTTTGGCATTGATATGATATATATATTATATAGCTCATACCTGTAGATCTTGCACATATCCATTACCAAATATGATTGTACCCCCTTTCTTCTACTGCCCTTGTTTCATACTGCTTACAATTAAGTGATGTACATTTTTAAAAATATGCAATAACATTTGAAGATCTGTTGAGAAAAAGCAATGTTTCCTTGCCCCCCCCCCCCCCCCCAAAAAAAAATCTTAATTTTACTCACAGTGTCACAGTGTCTTGGCTTTAGGGAAGTAAAGTAAAAAAAATTTTACTAAAAGCATTGCACTAGCCTATATCCCTGTACATATTTATGTGTGATTTTTTTCTTTCTAGTGGCATACAATCAGGCTTTGTTTGAGGTGCTTCTATAGACTAATAATAGTATTACATGCATATCATATAAATAAGCCCATAACTTTAATAAAATCTTCCAGGAATGATTGAATAAGCTTCTGGGACTTTCATGTAATTCATGCAATTCACATGTATATGTTGAAATACTTTTGTTCATCATCTTATTTTAAGATTATAAATGTATCTTTGTTACATGTACACTAAATATTAGGTAAACATTTTTTTTCTAATTGATAATAGTGTGATCTTTATTGACTGTATAGTCACAACTTTTCCCCATGCAATATTTATTCTAAAAATTTATTAAGTAAATATATCATATATATATTAAGATACTTTTATAAGGAAATATACATATATTTTGAATAGTAGAATTAAATATATAACAAATATTTAATGAATAAAAAAACAAACAACAAAAAAATAATAAGCATGCATTTCAAAAAAAAAAATTATGAAATATTTTATGGCTATAAATGCATTTCAATTAAGTAAAATCATGCAGATGAAGCATTAATGCATAAAAGCTCAAACTCCAACTCCAACATTTCAGCTACTTACTTTTCATGGCTGCACTCTGAATATCCTTACAAAACAGGAAATAGTTTTGGTCAATTTTTGATATAATGATTAGGTATAGTTAAATAATGTATAAACAACTATATAGTAAGTAAGTTATGGAAAAAAATTACCAATGATCAAACCTTCACTAGAATTTGTCTTGACTGCATGGGAATAAATTTACAGGAGAATTTAATCTACTTGGTCGAAAAATTGGAGAGCTTGAAATCAATACTAAATAGCAATATACATTGGGTAAATCACAGGTCTATGTCAATAAAACACATATAGGGAATGTGTCTACCCTGCTAGGAACAGTGAGGTACTGTGAAGACTGATATCTTAATACATAAGAATTACAGTATGTATAAACCATATAGAATTTAAAATCAGTATCAATTTCCAGATTTGTGTTATGAAGTCAAAAAAGAAAATCATATAATGTGTATTCATGCACATATTTTACCCAACAGGTATTTAAGGAAGGTGCAAGAAATTTGCAATATTTGCACAATATTGTCTAGATTGATGTTTCAAAGGTTGATCAATTCCAATATTATTGTTTGTGTAATTTTTGGATTTGAAATTCCAGTTTTTAAAACCACGTTATCTTTGAAAAATTGACTCATTAGCCCCTAAAAGTAAGTTAACAGAGGGTTCATGTTGTATGTTGGTTGATAGAAATTCTGATTTATTGGAGTTCTGCAGTGTAGTCTTTTCTATTATTCATTGAAAAGCACACATAAGAATTACAACACAATTTAAGATGCCTGAGGCAGTGTCTTATCAGACTTCATTGGAAAAATCCACCTAAGAAAATCAATACAGTAATACTGTTCAATCATCTACTGACTGAGTTCATTAAGCTTTTGAACATTTTTGCAGATGAAGGTAAGAGGTTGGAAATGATAACCTCTCATAAAGACTATCTCCATGACATGAGTGTCTATTTCTATGGTTTCATTGATGATTATACTATCATTTCATTTATTTTAATAGCAAGCGGTGCGAAGGGGTGCTCAAAACTGCGAGCTCTTAAAGCAACGCCTAGATGAAAAGCAAATTTAGACTAATTTGCACAATGATCCAAACAAATTTTTTTCTGCAGTAACCAGTGGACCCACAATCCTTTGCGAATTGCATCTAGCTGTAAACTACATTCTAGTGGTAACAACAAAGTTCAACAAAAAATAAACTCACCTTGATTTAATGGATATTGTAGACAAACAGCTAGATTAAACTTTATTTTTAATTAAAATTTGCACTTTTCAGACTTCGTTATGGTAATGCTACTAACATACGTCATGTGACATCAGAGTCTAGACATACCAAATGTCATGTGCGGTTTGAAGAGCCGGATCTAAATTGAAACTGAATAGGTATCTGCGCTCGCCCTAACAGTCATACCGTCAACTTATTACTATCTTTTGATAAATTATTGAATTTGTGATCAGTGATCGGGATAACAAAAAGGCTAAATGCGACAATGGCACGTTCCAAGTCAGTGTCAATGTGACATTTCTAAAATCAATGCGCCACATGGAATTTTTTAGGGGGACATGTATTGAAAATGGCAGGTTAAAATTTTGACTTGATATTGAGGAATTCAATGCAAAATTAAGAAAAGTCTGGCCTTTCTCTGGACAAGGATTTTTTTCAGATGCATATCTTCAATTTTGTGCGCATTAATGTCAACTTACGGTATTAACCAATCAGAAAACATTTAACTTTTTGGTAAGATACTGAAGAAATCTAAGTCATTGTTACACTTTGCTGGACAGCAGTTACTTTAATTTTTCAAGCATAAATATGATGCCAATTGTTAAAGCATTGTAGCGAAATAGATTGCAAGCCAGTGGGGAAAAGCTCAAAGTTTAAAAGTATGTTTGATGATGATAAGCACCATAAGGGTGCAGCGTTTTTAACAGCAATGCACCATATTATTTAATTTAATGCGACTATGGCGCAGGGCGTGTGCTTATCCCTATCACTGTGTGATAAATGGACTTCATCAGCCAAAGAGATTCTAACGGTGAGTAAAAATAATAGGGAGTGCAGCAAGCTCAAACTACAATGCCTGGGTGAGGACAAAATTCAGACTTTACAAATTGATTCAAATGAATTTCTTCCACAGTTACCTAGAGATCCACAATGCAATGCAAATGCATCTCAATGCTAACTTCGTTCTTGCGGTAACAACAACTAAAAATTCACATATACAGATAGTACATTAAAATGTTCTTTGTTAAAATTATCCACTTTTTTTTCTTCGCTTATGCACAGGCCTCTGAATTTCTATCAATAAGCGGTTATATGATTGATCAGAGTGATATATATAGCCCTTCTATATACAAATACACCAGCTATGCAACAACTTTTTAACCCTTTGCCCATTTGGAGCCGGATTTTAGGGGAAAATAAGTGTCTAACTTTTAGCATGCAGAACTATGCCCAGAATTGATCGTTCTTGTGTTCCACCACTTCAAAATTTCAAATGCATCGAAGTTTAGACGCAATCAACCATTACTTTCCTCTTTTCAAAAATTTCTGCCAACCAAGTTCGAAAAAAACAAAAGAATTAAAAGGAAATAGTTTTGCTAAATATTATTGTGGTAGGAAAATGATTGCTATTAATTTAGCGTGATTTAATCAGTGCAGAACCGTTGTTTACGTGATGTCAGCTCATGGCGATGGCCAGTGGCAGAAATTTTTTTCACTTTTGAAGTGGTACGTGGAATACAAGAACTGGGCATACTTCTGCATGCTAAGTTACACACACTTTCATTTTCCTCTAAAATTCTGCTCCGAATCCAACAGGGGGTTAAAAAGTTGTTCCATACCTGTATTTATATATCATGTATATAGAGGGGGTATATATATATATATATATCATTCTGATCAATCATATAACGGCTTAGTGATAGAAACTCAGAGGCCTGTGGTTTATGCAGCTAACACCACGTCATGTGGTGTCATAGTCTAGACGTTCCAAATGTCTCGTGCCGTTTGAAGATCCAGAAATATACAACTGCGCTCGCCTCAACGGTCGCACCGTCAACATATTAGCTTATCATTATTTATTATGTACGTTCGACATTCCATGAGCAACTAAAGCAAAATATAATTAGTGGTTTGAATCAATTGTATGTCAAGTACAGTGTATGCAGAAATTTACAAATGAAATAATATTTTAAATCTGTTGAAAATGCATTTATCCGAAAATATTGCACAATGCAGAGCTCTGATAAAAATATTTTAGTCTTTTAGTAAAGTCTAAATTTAAATTATTTGATTCAACGCAAATAGATAGAAACTATAATGTATATTTACCGTAATCTGGCCTAGTAAATCATGTAATTTTACGTTCCATGATAATCAAATGACTTTTCTGATGGATAGTATTTTAAGTAGTAGCCATGTTTGTTGTCATCGAAAACATTCCATTGGATAATGTTGAAGAGTTCCGAAAGGGTAGGGCAGTATTACCTATAGATAAGTTGTTCCATATCGAGTTCGATTGTCGATTTAAAATATCTCTCCTACATCCTTGATACAATCATCTGCATTAACTTCTGTTAATTAACAACATTTTAAAACTATGTTTCAATTCCCACGGAAGCACAAAGATGAAAATCGCAAGTTTACAATGTGTGAAAACATAGGCGCCTGAATGTTACATTAAAGCCACTGATAAAGTCAATAAATAATTGTATAGTCCTCATACAGCCAATACAGGTAACATATTAATGATCTTTACATCTACCAAAGGACTATTATTGTGTATCTATTTGCACTTTCAAACACATGTGGCGTAAATTAGAGGTTTCAAATCAAAACTAATAGTTCCCTGTCAAGTGCTACTAATTATTTCAAATGATTTGTTATTTATTGGATTTAGCGCTGATATATCCAATCATGCTTACGATATTTTTTACCTCCACTGATTTATTTATATATTTTGTGAATCATCTTAACAAGTGTTGCTAGATAGTTGGTCGATTTCGTATTTGAGAGAGAGAGAGCGAGAGAGCAGGTGTTAGCTTTATGCTAGTATTTTTTATGAGTACATTAGTAGATAATTGCTACAAAAGATTTTTTTCCTTCTCAAACGTGTGTAAGTAGATGTAGGATCGGATAGTGACGACATCCCTTTTGTATACAAGTACCTTGTATCAATAGAAAATAAAAAAATCCCCACCAATAATACAAAATGGAGTGGGATATTATAGTTTACACTGATAAAACTCAGTACCTTTATGTTTATACCCATCTAATGTACAGAGCCATGTATTCATTGGCAGGTGTATTTTTCAAATCTGGATGAGTGGCAAATATCATAAAATGAAAGGCATTATACATGCATATATAACGCGGTAAAACCGTTAATTATTGTAAATGTGTTTTAAGAAAAGTTCAATGAACTAATACTTTCACATTTTGTACAAAAAATGTATCATATTATAAATTTCTTATTGTACACCTACAAAAGTCTTCATACAATTTTACTTCCAATATAAGTATACCTACACTGTACGCTAAACCTTTCATGAGAGTAGGATGATGTATATTTAAAATAAAACGGATTTTATTAATTTTATCGAATGTTCGAATATATTCGAATACTTTCATTGAATATTCGAATATGAATTATTGACTAAATTGACATCCCTAATTATAAAATTTGTAAGTTTGAAATTTATATGTGGAGGCAAATGCAAATTCTAGATCGTTATATAAATAATTTATATTTATACCTCCTCTCAGTAATCACTGTTAAACCTGGGAAACACTGTTTAGTTTGTTGGATATGTCAGGGAATTAACGACAGTTGGAAACATTGGATAATTTGCATAATATTAACGGGCGAAGTATATATTATCTCACGTTTCTAACTGTCGGGAATGTCCCTGACATTCCCAAAATAGACGGTGATTCTTTATATTTACATTTGTATGAAAAATAAAAATGTAAAATTTAATCAAAAATGCTATCGAATAGAAATGAAATACACGAAGCATTCCATGTAAATTTACATTCAGTCCCCGCCCGCTGACGTCAGGTAACACACTGACAACCTGGGAATTTGACATGTATGAATATTAGACACTTAGTTGATTGATTGATTGATTGTATGCTGTTTTACGTCTCATTCGAGAATTTTTCCCTCATATAGGGACGTCACCATATACCCGGTGAAGGGCTTCAAATTTAGACCTTTACTCGGCACTCAGGGCCATTGAGGGTTCTTTATCGTGCCAACGCCTACCGTGACACTGGGCCTCGGTTTTTAAGGTCTCACCCAAAGGACCCGCAACTTTCACTTCAAAGTGCCGAGCGCTTGGAGAAGGAACATTTGCTGCCTATTTTTTATCGACAAAGGTTAGTCGCGGCCCTGATTGGAACACACGACCTTCAAGAGCACAAAGCGAGACAAGCTACTGATAGGTAAGCTGATGTTACAGGGATTTCAACAACCTTGTTTAAAGTCAGCATTTCGTAAATTCTAATATAATATATACTCTAATTATAATTTATATTAATTAATATTCTAATTATAATGACCTTGTTAGCAAATATAATCTATCAATGGGTCGTATTTTACGATAAATTTTAAATCAATTGTTAGGCCTTTGTTTTTACAATAAATCTGACTACAGAATGTTCTGTCTACATGATCAATACATAGGGCTCTTGGCGGAGGTGATGCTTACTTGGAGGTGATGCTTACTCTTCGTATAGGCTCCTGAACTGATGGGGGTCAGTGTTTTATGCTCTGTTCAACAATTTGTATTTTCTTTCATTTTTTTTTTTTTGTTGGGGAGGGGGGGGGGGTCAATCACTGTTCGTTATCTTCACCTTTTTCATTGAAAAGGTATAAATTATACTTATTAATTATGAATACACACACACACTCTCTCTCTCTCCCTCTGATTATCATCTTGGTTTATATTATCAAACTGTTTTCATGTACGATTTCAGCACCAACATGTACACGTACATGTACATGTACCACCTGCAAGAACTAGTATAAGAGTGTCTAATATCCTGAAAAACTTTGATTCTTTGCGTTTCAGAGAGAGCTAAAGAAAGAAATTTATAAAAAGAAAGTTATGTACAGCTCATCAGTAATCCACTTAGCACCAGACAGATCGTACATGTATGCTAGTATCTGTAACACTGAAGAGAGAAACTTTTCCCACATTATATACTGCGTGTATTTCTTTCCCAGCATTCTCCAGTTTCCTTACATGTATTTCTTTCCCAGTATTCTCCAGTTTTCTTACATGTATTTCTTTCCCAGCATTCTCCAGTTTTCTTACCTGTACTTCTTATAAAGCTATAATCAGATATATGAATATATCTCTAATCGATTTTACCTTTAACAAGAAATTTATTGATAGATCACAGTAAATATAGACTCTGCATTAATGCATAGTATAATCTCGTGCTGACTATATCCTGGTATGAAGTACATGTATTAAAGAAATAGGCTGTCATTCCAAAACTAGAGTTCCAAAATTATTACAAATTTCATGAGTTTAGAAAGCATTTAAACCAAAAATGAAATCAACAAAAACAAATATTTTTTTTTCTAGTGTCAAGCACATACTGATTGCAATCTTCTATATAGCCACCAGTTCCTCTCAAACTTGACCCTCATCTGTAAAATGTACCTAAGAACAACTGCGATTACATCAGTTAATAAATGTACTTTCGTCATATAATGGTGAAATTAAAATCATACATCAATACAGCATTATTCTTATGGGATTTATGACCCCCAAATCTATGGGGATCACCCTTCTCCCACGAGTAGCAATGAGTAGCTAACAATGAAATACGATGACTAAAAGTATCAGGATGAATATCCTCAGGATTTAGACGCACTAAAAGCAATACATCTACAGATGGACAACACAATTTCTAATTCAGTACCCTTCTAATATGAGGGTATAATTGATCAAACATACCACCCTCTCCATTCAATGGGTCTCCTGTGCCCTTGGATGTAAGGGTTCTTAATCTCTCTGGTGATGAATCCAAGTCTTCATATCTTTCACCTTCTTCATGTTCACCGATATATGGCTGAAATACTGCCGACTCGGCGTTTAACAATAATCAATCAATCTTCTTTATGTTCTTAGGAAGAATTAATCTTTTAATTCAATTAGTATCTATGCGAGTCATAATTTATTTTTCTGAAACTTCATTTTATTACATCAGCCGTTTCTGAGTTTCGGTGTGAGTTATTCTGAAAATGTGTTCTGCTTTCAAGTCCTGATTTTACAGATACAGGTAAAGGATGGCTTCCCTTGAAATGCTCAGATTCTGTTTAAGTTTGACACCTACATGTACTTGCTCCTTCTTCTTCAGTTGGAGATGAACTAAAGTTATGGAGCACATGTACATCCATCTATATTGATGAAAGGATTACTCCTATATTCGTCAGGCAGCGCATCTTCGCTAGCCAAGGGTGACTCTTAGTGAGAGGAGAGGAGCGGATTGTCACCCTTGGCCAGCGAAGATGCAGGCAGCGCTGCTAGCTCTTACTTCCAGGTAGTGTGTCTTAAGATTGCTTTTGCAGGTCGCAGCACGTTTTTACCCCAAGATGTATCAACTGACCATGATTAATTGTCCCACGCATCACATTGTAAAAGAAATGACCCAGACAGCTGACATTTAAAAGAAGGAACGATAGGAAAGTCCGTACCATAATATGGCCTGTCGAAAGACGGGCAAAAAAAAAAAATTCTTGGGCTGAAATGAATGCATCCCTGAAAACGCAGATTCATTAATTTGCATATATTCCCCTATTAGCACAATCATACATGGAGTATGGTCTCCAATGCAGGTAAAAGTTTTTGCTTTTGTTACAGAATGAGCTTTCTGGATGAAAGCAATACATTCGGACTGCATAAAAAATGTGGCAATGGTTGTCAAATTAACATTTGGCGAAATACACAGAAAATACAGAAGGACTTAGAATTGTATGTAAATCTGTATGTGGCATCCAGTAAGCAAATATTACTTCCATACTGTCTTCAAAGTGTTGCTGAAAAGTCTCATCCTCCTTATGTACCTCTATGATTGATTCGGAAAGTTATGATATATTATCATCAATATATACATAAAACAGAAGAATAATCGATCGAACTTTTTCCATCGTATGTCTGGGTGAAAAGAAGTATACTCTAATGCAATATATTAGATCATTTTGTGTATAATTCTAAAATTACAAGTACATCTAATGGATAAATGTATCTGTTCATTAACTTTTTTTTTGTCCTTAAGACCAATATAGATATATTCCCTACATCTTCAGTTACATAGTTAATAAATAAAATACCTAGGCTAGCATGAAGATAAAACACCTGATAGTAAAAAAGTGCACTAAATCAAGCATTTTTTAAATCAAGGAATCTAG